TCATAAATGACGAAATTGAGCTAAATAAGACTGGATAACAGGAATCGTATAACTGAATGATATCCGTTGTGATCCTCAATGGACAACTAAACATTCCATGAAATGGAAAACATGAAATTCATACATTTGATCTACGTCATAAAGACTTCGAAGAAACAAACAAACCGTTCAGGCCTGATTTGTTTTGTTTCTTTCTTTTTTTGCTTGTTTGTTTGTTTTGTTGTTGTTGTTGTTTTTTCAGGTTTTATCACAGCCACTTAGCGGTGAACTATTTGACTTTTGAATTTTTTTAACCCATACATGCACTGGGAAATGTTTTTCTCAGGACGCGTGTATGCATGATATCTTTTTCTCTGTGTAACATGTTTTTTTTCGGCTCACTGAACGTGGTAAGCGTCTGCAAATCGCTCAAATCATTTAAATTGTTATTGTAAATAAGTTTTTTAATTTCTAGTATTTTTTAATAGTTAGTTCATTGTGACTGAAAAGCCCTGTTAAAGGGAGTTCCAGTAAAGTATGTATGTAAATCACCGAAATTTGCAAGACTACGAGGACAAATGTCTTTGTGAACCTGATGAAATTACTCTGCGCGAGGAAGAGGATTTTTGATGTTCTAGAAGTTATCTTTTGCCTGGAAACCTTTACAAATAGTGCACTAAATAATGTACTTTCTGCAAACTTTAGATCTTACACCTGCATAAATAACAATTTGTATGCGGGTTGAATAGGATGAATGTATTTGCCGCTGATTCAGCGAAAAAAGCTCAACTGACTTTACACAGCTGTCTAGGCTGCACATACATTCTGCAGATGTATATTAGAAACTAGTTTTGTTGAGATCGCCATTCGTCAGCTGAATTTATTTAGGCTTCAAGCTGTTTCTACTCAATATGCAGCTGAATTTAATCAGGCTACTTTCAGGTTTCAAGCTAGCTTTATTCAGCCTTCAGTCAATTGTACCTAAGTTGATGCAATCTTGTTCCTCGCTACTGTAAGTAAAGTACTCTTCCGTGTAGTTCGATTTAAATCGAAGTTGAAGTTACGAAGAATAAACTTGTGAAGTCCAAGTTCTCTGAGTGTCTTTATTTCCATTTGGAGCAGATTCGACGGTACCGTGGAACCCGTGACAAGTCCCTCTCTAGCAGCAAGCGCGTGGGGTTGCTCGGGCTGATTCCCGAGTCCAGTTAATTTCTTAGTTGGGTGGGGGCCAGGGGGCGGAAACCCGGGAGAATAGGGGGCGGGAGGCGGGAGAGGATGGGGCCGGAAACGAGAGAAAGGGGCGGGAAGTGGGAGTTCAAAGAAGGCGGGAATCATTTATTAAGTTTAAAAATACTTTAAAAAAACAAGAACTCAAAATGTTATCTCACTTACATTTAACCTATTTTGAGACTTCTGGGCCGACGGAAAAACGAGAATGGGCCCTTGGGCTAAAAAAACTGAGGCCTACTTCCGGTAAAATTGGAAACCCTTTTACAGTGGTTACGTCATAGGGCATGAAATGTTGTTGCTTAAGCTGTCAAAAGACGTGAGTAAGAGGAGCAGGGCTGAAAACAAAGGAAAAAAGGAAAAGAAAACCCCTAAGGATTGCGCAGCTAAATGACTAGGATGTGTTGTGAGTCTCCTTATTTACAGGGGACGGACGCAAGGCGGACGAGGCCGGGAGTCGGGAGATAGAGGAACGGGATGGGGAGGTTCTGACCCCCCTGTCCTCCCTCACTTCCTAGGGTCAAACACAGTAGTTTCCAGCCAGTTAGGTTTTCTCGAAGCCCATTTTCCCCATTTAGAGTTTAGGGCGACAAGAGCCGTTGTCACTCGTTAATTAAAACATACTCGTAACCATTGTCATGGTTTTTGAAGGCAACAACACACTGTTCTCCTCGAAATTGACAAAAATTTGGCCAATAATGCAACAACTGACATTCCGTCTCGTCGCGGGATTTTATGCCCGCGGGACTTCACACCCGTATTTCTGACTTTATACCCGTATTTTTATGTTTGACTACCAGTGATAAGCTATAAGTCACCTTTGAATCCGATCTCTATTAAACATTTCCATTGAATAACAAGAGTAACCAAGCGCTTACAAATTGGACGTCCTGCTCCAAAAAGCTGTCTAGGCCTCTTTCCGCCATCCTTGTTTCGCACGAGGAAGCAACCTTCCAAATGTGGTGGTGAGAGTGGATTCATTTGGAAAGTACAGAACTCAAACGAGTTTTATCAACTCATTGTTCATACGTTTTGTGTTAAACGCAATTAGGAAA